TGTTGAGTACCTCAGCCTTCTCCTCCTCTGTTGATACCAGTTTGCCAGTCTTGCTCATCAGGAGGGGTACACTTTCTTTAACCTTCCTTTTCTGGCTGACATACCTGTAGAAGCCCTTCTTGTTATTCTTTGCATCCTTTGCCAAGTTCAGCTTCAGCCGCACTTTGGCCCTCCTACACAACCGGGCGGCATCCCTACACTCTTCCCAGGATACCTGTCCCTGCTTCCACTGCCTGTGCAGTCCCCTCTTGCCCTTTAGTTTGGCCAGCAGGTCTCAGCTCAGCCATGCTGGTCTCTGCCCTCCCTTGCCTGATTCCTTACACCTGGGGACCGAGAGCTCCTGCGCTCTATGGAAAGCATCCTTAAAGATCTGCCAGCTCTGTTCTGCTCCCCTGTCCCTGAGGGCCGCTTCTAAGGGGGTCCTTCTGACCAACTCCTTGAAGAGGTGGAAGTTTGCTTTCTTAAAATTCAGGGTCCTGACTTTACTCTTCGCCTGACCCTTATCCCTCAGGACTGTGAACTCCACCAGTGCACGATCACTGCAGCCCAGGCTGCCTCCAACCTTGACATCACCAATTAGCTCACCTGCGTTGGCGACCAACAGGTCCAGCATTGCATCCCCTCTGGTAGGGGTGTCTATTATCTGTCTATATGCTAGAAAAATAAATTACATAAAATAAATGCAGGCTTCTAGATTAAACATTCACTTTTTCCTGGTCAGGATGCTGAGGCTAGATTTCTAAAAGGTAAAAAACATCCAATTATTAAGCTACGTATGAGCTCTAAACAGCTTACATCCTTTTTTAACACCTGCACTTTTCAAGCTCTACTAAATCAAACATTTCTTTTCCACTAACAAGCAGATTTTTATGAAGACACACTGCTCAGCCAACAATGTCTCCTCTCTTCTTCCCTCCTTGTCTAAAAGGAGATTCATAGCAGAATATGCTTATCCACAACAGTCAAAAGCTTTCCTTTAAATTTATCATCTTGTCACATGCCTCATTCATTCCTTTGTCCTTTAAAACTTTTCACCGCACAGCCCAATTTGCCAATACACAGTCACACTCTGACTGCCTCTCACATGCCCCAATGCCATCACTGTCAGCATCACCTTCAGGAAACACAACGTGCTGTATTACAAGCCTGACAGCTCAGGTAATCGTTTTCTGAACAGACCCCAGCTACCACTCAACTTCTTAGTTTAGCTTCTCAGTAATAGAGTGGTAGAAGCATCTACTCAAGAGATGGTTTTCTGAGCAGTGCAGAAAGGCTGGTACAACTTAGAAAAGCCAAAATTGATTTCACTCTGTCCCTTTTCCATTTCCATTCTTCTTAAAAATTTTCAAATCTAGAAAATGTGCGTGGAACTAAAGCCTTCACACATAACTCGACCCTCATTGGAATGTTTCATATAATTTCCAGCAGCACCAATTACTGCATAAATCACATACCACTCATTTGTTCTGTGCTCCATCAGCCTTGTGGTACTACACCTACCTTCTGTATAAGACGAACACGATACAGGGTCACTAGTTGATCGGACTATATTTGAAATTCGGTGTTTTGTAATGTTATGCTGCTGGACACCACTCTCGTGGCTGCTCGCGTACGATGAAGTAGTTGCAGGCCCAAAACATGGAGAGGTCTGGGAAGCAACAGGAGGCTGGCTAAAGTCTGCACAGCACATTTTCTTTTGCTTCAGTGGCAGTGTGGCATTGCTCTCCTGAGCAGAACTCTTCAATTCTCTTTCTGAGGGGCTGAGATTCTCTGAGGAACATTCCAAGGACCTGCCGTGGGCACAGTTCTTTTCCTGTCCTGGAGACCTGTCTGTAGAGGCTTTGCTGTGGGAACTGTCATCCACATCAGGAAAACCTTCTGAGGGAGTTCTGTGGAACCTGCAGCAGGTGCTGTAATCCAGAGTGCTGCAGCTCTGGTCCGTAGCCCCTTTGGGGGTTGTACAGTAGGGAGAAAGATCTGCAGAATGGAGAAATCCGTGACCTTCCAGCGAACAAAGATCTTCAGAGGAGCAGCTATGGTCTGGGATATCAACAGCCTCAGACACCATCAAAGACGTGCTCTCAGCAGAAACTGCAAAATAAGAGATTCAGAGAAAAACAGACTTCTTGCCCCTCTCCCATCCCTCCCCCAGACCTGTTTTCAATATACTGATCTAAATTTAGTAATTGGCAAGTACATCAGTAATTACTCAAAAGCTTTCAGATGACAGAATGCCAAAGCAAAAAAGACTGAAGTAATTTACTTGTTTCTAGTGTCCTTCAGCAAAGACAATTTGTGCTGTCCTCAAGTATTTTCTTAAACTAATAAGCATGGTTGAGCACTGGTACCGAAGTATTATCTGTAACTACATTTGGACAGGAACTGCTCTTTCACTGCTAGTTTCTCTGGTAAACAGTGAGAGATTGCCTAATAGAAAAAGCAAAACTTTACACAAATGCTCAAAAAACACGGCTCTGATCACTTTTAAACCTATCGCTACTGTCAGTATTAGCTTTGCACCTAACACTTTCTAATCAATCATTTCCCTAAAGCATATATCTAAGTTCTTTACAAATGAGAATTCACCATTATATAACATCTCTGGCACACAAAATATGTGACACACAAACTTCAGATAGAAGCTAAACATTCTGTGCAAGGTCACATCTTCTTTGAAGCCCTTTGTATTAAAAATTAAGAGTGTTATCACTTCCTCTGTCATATCTACAAATATATGTTAAGGATGAAAATGACCCCTTGTATGAAGACAAGTATTTGGCTCTGCATTATTCCCAAAGTCATGACAAAAATAAAGAAAATAAAACTAGATCATCCAGGCTCCAGTAATATAGACAACACTTCTCCCATATCAGAGTGGAATTCCTTAAAGTCCTATATCTAAAATCAAAATATTTACAAAATACAAATCATATAGTTCTATTCAGCTCAGCAGCTTCTTATGCCCTTATTTGCATAACAGCTGTTGCTAACCATATTGATGAGACAAATGTATTTTAACTGTTTTGTTCAGGAATCAAAAAATAGGATCTTTTAGTGAGTTAGAGAATGTTTGTTAAGTGTTCCCATATTTTGAGGTCTAGGAAGCAGAAAGCTTTCTACAATATTGGGAAATTAACTATCAAAATGAAAATCAAATATTCATGAAGTTGGATTTTATGAAGGACATTTTGTTCTTACATAACATGAATCACAACTATTTTCTTTTGGGGCTTCCAGGAAATAAATTTGTAACACCTACAAGGCAATAATAACACTGCCAAAAAGGACATAAAAATCAATAATGGAAATACATCTCCTCATCTATATTATTCTAAAAATGCATACTATGTACTGCTTATTATGAGTTAGGGGCAAAGCTGCAGTGGTTTATTGGGCCATTCATATTTGTGATGAGTCCCCAAACATTTTTTACCTAGTTAGATGATTCTTTGCAACATACTCTCTTAACTCAAGCTTCGAAATATCTGTAAAGTTTGTGTGGATAAATGAAAGCATCCAGTTTGTGCTGTCTTCAGAGCACACATCTTCACTGTCCAAACTCTCTGGTTTGATTCGATTTAATTGATAATTAAAGTGTGGTTGGTTGTGCCATTTGCTACCTGGACTCAAGGGCCTTAAACTGCATTTACAGCTTTTTCCTAGTCTACTCTTCCACTGGCATGGTTTTTCTGGTACTACAGACAGCAGGAGGAGGGGCCTGAAGCAGATGAGAAGCAATTACGGCTCAAAAGACATGGAATGGTGGCACCTCACTGATTTTAGATGAACAAGATATGCCCGAGGACCTTCCTTTCATGTGCGCGCAGCACAATAATGTAATGTCAAAACCTTAGCTTGAGAGCTGGTCCTCTGCTTATCAATAGTCAAAACTCTAGCACTGGCCTTAAAATTTAGACTTTTATATGTAGATGTGAAATCCAAATGTACTTACAAACTTTAGAAACTAGCTCTGTAGACACAGCCCTTGTTAACTTAAAAACTAGTCACCTGCCGCTGTCATGGCCCATTGCAGCTGTCAAACACCAGGTTTAAAAAAAAATTAGTACTTAGCAGTAGTTGAAGGTGACCACTGGTGGCTCTGGAAACTGAAATCCTTCTCCACAGAACAGACACTCTGCGTGTGTAGGAACAGATGCTCCTCACTGATCTGCTAAGCTGTCAGTCCCACTCTGGATGCTAGGCGAGAGAGTACTGTTTCTCCATCTTGGACCACTCCGTCACCACCCCTCTGCCCATAAGCATACTATCTGAGAACACCTGCCAGCCTATTCATGAATATGATATGAATATGATGTAGAAAAAGTATTTAATGGACGTTTTAGTATAATAATTATTTCATACAAACTCCTCAACATCACATGATCCATGGAGGCTGTAATGTTTAAAAAGCCCTCCATATCAACAGATGTGGTAAGAAGGCCTATTCTAGTAACTTCTAAATTCTAAACAAACAGGCTCTGTGCTGCTACTCATCTACTTGCATTCACAACAACTACGCTTCAGGCAGCAAGCTTCCTATTCAGGCTTCTGGAAGCCATGTGGAAACTATGTGGAAAAGGCATGTGGACTATTAGGAAGGCACCCTTGGTGGCTGATAATGAGCAACAAACTACCAGTTATGCATATGACTCTTCAAAGAGAAATGACAGTTGCCATATCTGACTCAAAGCACTTTATAGAGCATGCTTTGCTGAGTAAAATTCTCCTCTGCGTTTCCAGCCACATCAGTTTATGACTGTGAAAAGATTCTTCTTGCCATGAACAATCTGAAAGCAAATCCTTCTCTCTCTGTTGGGAGGGGCAGAAGAGAAAGAAACGGCCACTCAAAAATCCTACTACATCTTTCTCATGGAGACAAACACAATGCTATGATCACCTTGTGTGCTGAAGTCCAGGGTCATGTTCCTCTCACCCAAGCTTGATTCAGATACTTGCTCATGAGTACCAGTGACCTAAATGAAAATTGTTTAAGGAAACAGCACAGTAATCTGCAATTTACCAAAACAAAGTATAGCGCTGATGATCTTAAGAACACACCCGACAAAGTGACACTGCTATTCAGATTGAAAGCTATTTAAGGATATAGTATTTTACAAAGTCTTTGGCTCAGGAACAAATGTAGGGCAAAGGAACATGCTTAAAGCAATTTTTCATTTTTACAGAATCTACAAGCTAAATTCGTGATAGAACAGTTTGGGTTGGAGGGGATCATCTGGTTCCAACCCCCCTGCCATGGGCAGGGACCCTTCCACCAGACCAGGCTGCTCAAAGCCCCGTCCAGCCTGGCCTTGAACCCTGCCAGGGAGGGGGCAGCCACAGCTCCCCTGGGCAGCCTGGGCCAGGGCCTCAAAGCCCTCAGAGTAAAGAATTCATTTCTTAGATCCGATCTAAATCTCTTCCAGTCTAAAACCATTATCCTTTGTTCTATCCGTACAGGCCCTTGTAAAAAGTCCCTCTCCAGCTTTCTTGTAGGCCCCTTCAGGTACTGGAAGGCCTCAATAAGGTCTGCCCGCAGCCTTCTCTTCTCCAGGCTGAACAGCCCCAACTGTCTCAGCCTGTCCTCACAGCAGAGGTGTTCCAGCCCTCTGATCATTTCTGTGGCCTCCTCTGGCCCCGCTCTGACAGCTCCATGTCTGTCCTGTGCTGAGGGCTCCAGAGCTGCATGCAGGACTCCAGGTGGGGTCTTACCAGAGCAGAGCAGAGGGGCAGAATCCCCTCCCTCGACCTGCTGGCCACGCTTCTCTTGATGCAGCCCAGGGTACAGTTGGCCTTCTGGGCTGCGAGTGCACACTGCTGGGCCATGCTGAGCTTCCCATCAACCAGCATGCCCAAGTCCTTCTCCTCTGGGCTGCTCTCAATCCATTCCCTGCCCAGCCTGTATTTATGCTGGGGATTGCCCCGACCCACGTGCAGGACCTTGCACTTGGCCTTGCTGAACTTCATGAGGTTTGCACAGGCCCACCTCTCCAGCCTGTCAAGGTCCCTCTGGATAGCATCCCTTCCTTACAGCATATCGACTGCATCACACAGCTTGGTGTCATTGGCAAACTTGCTGGGGGTGCACTCATTGCCACTGACCATGTCACTGACAAAGATGTTAAACAGCGCTGGTCCCAATACCAACCCCCAAGGAACGTCACTCGTCACTGGTCTCCACTTGGACACTGAACCATTGACTGCAGCTCTTTGGGTGCAACCATCCAGCCAATTCCTCATCCACCAAGTGGTCCATCATCAAATCCATGTCTCTCCAGTTTAGAGACAAGGATGTTGTGCAGGACACTGTCAAATGCTTTGCTCAAGCCCAGGTAGATGATGTAGGTTGCTCTTCCCTTATCCATCAACACAGTGACCCATCGTAGAAGGCCACCAAATTTGTCAGGCATGATTTGCCCTTAATGAAGCTGTGTTGGCTGTCACCAATCACCTCCTTATTTTCCA